ACAAGCACTCAGGCCATCCTCTATTGCTTTTCCAGGTCATTAGCAGGGCACTAGATCAGAAGTGGGGCAGCTAGGAAATGAACCGGCATCCACATGGGATGCAGGTGCTGCCGGTGGAAGGTTTACTTGCTGTGCCACAATGCTGGTTCCAGTACATGGGTATTGAACTGAGGAAAGCACAGGTAAATTATTTGTACTGGGTCCCACGGCTGGTGAACATCAGCTGGGTTTTGGGACAACTTCCAGGGCCTCTTAGCCGCTGTGTCGTACCACTGTGTTTGCTTGGTAAACAACTGATGGAAAACCAGGGGTAAGAGCAAAGCAGGGTGGGTAGGCCAGCGATGCTTACCCTGGGGCTGCTGGGAGCCTGACTGACTACTAAAGAAGCCACATCAACACCAGCACACATTGCTGCTCGGCCTTTTGACTAAGATCAAGTGTAACACCAACATGTGCCCATGATACCCCCAACGTGACCACCGTGTTGTCCCACCTGGAAAAGGGAACCCAGGGCTTGGAGAGGTGTTGGTTGTCTCCATGGTACCCCAAAACAGATCAAAGGGCCCTGGTGGAAAGGGCAGGCCTGATCCCCCTAGGACAAACTGGTCACACACACAAGCACCTCATTCAGTGTGAATAAGAGAACGATAAGAAGTAAGGTCATCTCAAGTGGGTCCCAAGCAAATGGCTGTCTGAACTCTCAGACCCCGTTTTCCTTTCCTTTTGTTTTTAAAGCATCGGCCTTGTGTAGATCTCAGGATTCTTGGGCCATCCCCTGTGATATCTGCAGCAACCCAGAGTGGGTGGGTTTGAGACTGGCAAGCCCAGGTGTGGGAGGCTGAGGAACTTGGCAAAGTCACCTGCCTTGAACAGATTGGGAACCGGTTTGTGTGACTCTGGGGCCCACTTGTCTCATGGTCCTCACCTCCTCTGCATCACAGTCCACCTTGGACACCACAATAGAGAGGCACAGCTTCAGGTCAGCCGGCTTCTGTGTGGGAAGCAGTGGCCTTCATCTCCAGGGGGCCCATTTCTGGAGTTCTGTGGCCATGAATAATGGCTTGGTCTTGCTTCCATCTACCTCTTGTCCCCAGTTCCTTCAGCATTAGCTAAAGCATCCATACCTGCTATCCTTCATCCTGCTGGCTCCCAGAAGGTTCTGTTTTTGGGTTCCCACTGTGGCGTTTTTGCCTTCCATAGAAGAGGCCTGGCTGGCAGGTGGGCCAACCGCACTTGGCGGGTGCTCCCTGAGCTTTTGGCTCTTACATTGGTGTGTCTCAGATCTTTGTTTTTAATCATAATATTTCACATTTTTTCTTCTCATGCCAATCAGCAGGAACCAGTTGGGGTTGGTAGCAAATCTTCCTTTAATTTCCACCGGCCTGGATTATTAGTTCACTTAAAACGGTGTTGAATTTGTACATGTGCCCCAAGGCTTTTAAATATCAAGCTCATTTGATTGTTGTTGGAAATCAATTTGTACGCCACAGTATGCTCAATGAGCTGGACACTTGAGGTCCTGTGGTCTCTGTGGCCCATTAGCAGGGATCAAAGTTCTACAGCCCCACACTTTTCATTTCTTCCCTTAAAACACCTCCACTTGTTTCGTTTGCCTTGCTGAGGCTCCACTGGAAGTATCTCTTGAAGGTGGCAGTCCTGGGGCAACAAGAGCCCCGCTCTCCTCACTGAGCCCACTCCTTTCCCTCTCCTGATCACCTTCCAGGGCTGTGCACTCCCCTGACCCCCTTAGTTTCTTCTGGCTTGTCCTGTCCTGTCAACCTGTCCCACGTGAAGTTGGTCTTTTTTCTTACTTTTTTGAAGAGTGTTTTTCCATTATTTGTGGTTTTTTTTTTTTTAACTTTATTTGAAAGAGTAAAAGAGAAGAGAGATGGAGATCTTGCATCTGCTGGTTCTCTCCCCAGATGGCTGCAATGGGCAGGGCTGGGTCAGGCAGAAGTTAGGAGCCTGAAACTCCCATCAGGGTGTCCCATGGGGGCGTAAGAGTCCTAGAATTTGGGCTGTCATCCAATGCTTTTCTCGGTGAATCAGCAGGGAGCTGGATCAGAAGTCGAACAGCTGGGACTTGATCCTGGCAGGTGTCACAGGCAGTGGCTTAACTACTGCACCATAGCATCTGCCCCTCTATTATTATTATTATTTAAAATATTTATTTGAAAGACAGAATTACAGAGAGAGATGGAGAGACAGAGAGGGAAGGAGATCTTTCATCTGCTTGTTCTATCTCCAAATGGCAAAAATGGATGGGGCTGGGCTAGGCCAAAGCCGGGGAGTCTGGAGCACCAGTCCAATCTCCCTCCTGGATAGCAGGGACCCAAGCATTTGGGCCATCTTCCACTGCTTCCCAGGAGCATTAGCTGGGACTGGATCAGCAGTGGAGCTGCTGGGACTCTGGTTTCTCATGGGAAATTGGCATCACAGGTGGCTGCTTCTCATATGGGATGCTTGCATCACAACCGTTGCACCACTATAGCTGCCCCAGGATTCATTTTCAGCAAACTGCTTTTCCTCTCCTTTCCCCTTGAGTCATCTATTTAGGAGACCTGTGAGTTCTTGGCCAAGAGTGAGGGGAGCGTTGTGACCTTGTGCTGGCAAAGCCCCATACCTCTTGGTTCTGCAGGGCTTTTCCTCACCAGAACCCCAAGGATGTTGCTTGGATGGCGGGGTTTTCCCTTGGGTGTTGAAGTTCAGGGCTGTAGTGAAATGTGTTCATGGGCACATGTTTGTCTGTGACACCCACCCTGGAGACAGAAGACCACCACTTTTGGCATGGAAAGTAGCTTGGAATAAGTTCAGAGATTCAGATTAGAAGCTGGGCAGACACAGAAACCTCCCTGTCTGTTAACTTTTTTTGAGTTTGTTACAGATGAGAAGTGAGAGAAGAAATAACTGCTCTGAGGAAATGCATCATGGAGCAGCTGTTTTCACGTGCAAGAAAGCAGATTTTGTGACTGTTCTGTCAAGCTGGCCTAGCAGCCAGCAGCCTCGTTCCCCTTCCATCTCTTGCTGTGTAGGACACACAAGGTTTGAGTGCTCCTTGCCCTCCCCATTGGGCAGTGAGGGCTGGGACCCCAAGAAACCTTCTCTGCTCATGTTCTCTGACTTTCCTTGTTTTATCTCACTCCCTTACCACCCCTTCCTTTGTTGGACATTCTGTCCTCAGAGTGGGACCTGAGTGTCCTATGATACTTTTTGCCACTGCTAACCTTGTGCAACAACTGTATTGGTTTGGTTTTTTTTGTGGGCTGTGCTACCCAGAGTGTGTCCAGGGAGTGCTGAAAGGGTTTTGGATCCTGACCCCCTCCTTGGTGCCTGTTGGGGCCCAACCTAGCTCCAAGGAGAAGCCGAGGCAGTTAACTTTTCTTCTGCCTATTATTCAAGTGCTTCCTAAATTTTCCGCTTATCTGACTTCACATCTTTAAAAAGGAGCCATGGAATCCTAAGTAGGAAAGACGCTATGCTTTGCCCCCATTGGCCTCGGTGCTGTCCATAACCAGATATGTATTGTATTTTTGGTCCCTGTGTCCTTTGGGTCCTGGGTGGTCTTCTAGGCTCAGGACTGCAGAAAGGGACCCTCTGTCACTGCCTGTAAGTGGTAATGAGCTCTGTGGTCCTCTAGTCCCCCATGGCAGGTGGAGGTGTTGGTTGGGGCAGAAGATGCTGTCATGGGAAGGATGCCAAGGAGAAGGGTGGCTTCGCTTCTGGAGATTTGTTTCCAGACAGATTCAGAAGAAAAAGTGGACTGTGACTTGCAGGCTTTCAATATCCAGATAGGTCTAAGACAGAATCCAGCAAGGAAGATCTTACACCATCTCCTTCCTCATGTCCCTGAACCATTTTATCTCCAAAGCATGTCACAGTTGCTAGTAAACATCCATGGCTTTCCTGAGAGGCAGGCAGGTAGGAGCATCACCCGTCTGGTGAAGCCCAGGGATAGAACAGACACATGCCAGGCTTGGGAGCATGAGGCAGAGGGGACAGCTGCTTCCCAGGGCTATGATGCTGTCCCCAGACCCTCCCTTGGACCTCCCACCCTCTTGGTTACCCTCAGTAACCCTCAGTGCCCTTGGTTCCCAGTAGCAGAAGAGAGCTGAGGCTGTGTATAGTAGGAGAGATGTTCCTTTAGGGTGAGCAAGCGATGGGCGGTCTGGAGGAAGTCTGATAAACTGAATCCTAGATGCAAGAGTTTGGTTACAACACTGATACCATTCATTCACTGGTTTTTACCAGCAGACAAATAAAAATCTGATCATCTGCTTCTAGACAAGATACTGCAAAGGATTTCCTTTTCCCTAAAGAGCTGACTAGCCCGTAGGAATCCTGCCTATTGGAGGTTGATCCTTTCTGTCCCGTGTTCAGCCCCTAAGCACAGGTGAATATGAGGCTTGCTGTCAGCTCTGTCTGCATGGATGGTGGGACATGGTGAAGCTCCTTGGCTGACCTGGGAGGCGGAGGTCCTCAGGTGTCCACTCCCTGTTGCAGCTGTCCCTCTTGCAGCCAGTCTTTTCTAGGGTTGCCTGGGAATGAGGAGGTGGCGGAGTGTGTGTGTGGAGGGAGCCTGGGGGTACTACTCTCAGTTCTTCCACAGCAGTGGGCCTGGGGTCACCATTCTCTCCCTGGGCATCTTGTCTGTGGTGCAGGTTGGTTGTCTCACTTTGAATGCCTGGGTTCAGAAGTATTTCAGAGCTGTTTGGATCTGGGAATATTTGCACAGACCCATCCAGTTGGACATCCCTAAAACAAACAAACAAACAAACAAAAAAACAAAGCTCCAAAACCTGAAACTTCTTGAGTGTCATGTTGTTACCCAAAGAGTTTTGGATTTCAGATTTTGGGTTCCCAGTTTGGGGTTGGCTGATCTGTACCAGGAATAGAGAAGGAGGTTGTTTTATCTCTTCTCTGGGCTGCAGTGAAGCCACACTGGCTTTGTGGGCAGGCCTGCTCCCCTTGCTAACGTCCCTCCCCTTGTCTTGGCACTGCAGGGTGCTGAGTCCCAGTCCTGGACCTCTGCTGGGGGGTCCTTCCTCTGAAGACGTCGCCAGTGTGTGGAGCCTGCCCCACACCCACTCCCTGCCAAACCACGGCCTTTACCTGTGTCTTCCGGTGTTTCCCGTGCGACCCATCCTGTGGGAGTGCCTCGTGGGCTACCCCGGAGTTCACCCCACGCTCAGCAGCGCCGATGGTGAAGATGACAAGATCCAAGACTTTCCAGGCATATCTGCCCTCCTGCCACCGGACCTACAGCTGCATTCACTGCCGAGCCCACTTGGCCAATCACGATGAACTGATTTCCAAGGTACACGTTTCCCGCAGTCCCTCTTTGCCTGTCCCTTGGGAGAGCCCTTGGTGCTGCTGAGGCTTCAGAGGTGTGCAGGTCTCTCCAGGAGCTCCAGGGGCATTTAGGTTGCAAAGGTGGGAGGGACAGGGTAGCTATTGAACTTGTTCTTTGGGAAATCAGATGTCATGCCTTGTTCGGAGGCTTTGGGAGCTGATGCCTGCTTGAACTGTGAATGCTGTGAATGGTAGGTGGGGAGTCTTGGGGGAGAGGTTTATTAGCTGAGATAAGAAGGCCTCAGGAAAGCTGTGGGGTGAAGGTGGTCTTTGGGGAGGGTCAAACGCAGCTGTGGATGCGGTGGCGGTTTACGGCCTTTGGAGTGGGTGGGGGTGGATTGTGGAGGGTGATATTGGTTCACCATTTACCCTGAGGAGCCTTGGCAGTGAAGTTGGGGCTGGGGGTTACTCGCAAATCAGCCCAACTTCCTGGTTGTGCAGTCCAGAAACTGGCTCCTCCGGGCAGCTTTTCCTGACCTGGCCTTGCTGCCACTGGGAGTCCCCAGGGAGGAGAAACTGGTTTTACCAGGCTACCAGACAAAGAAACCCATGGTGACCTTTCCCTTAAAAAGCATCTTGCCCCAGAACCTGAACTTCATTGCCATTCAAGTAAAACAAACTTTCATGCATACCCAGGCTAAGTTTAGAAAAAGACAGAAAATTGGTATTCCTGATGTGTTTAAAAGAGCTCCTGGGAAAAAGCAGCCCTGCTGTCTTTCTCCCAAGTTTGGCAGCCGCAGCCAAGAGGGTCAGTGGGTCAGTGGTCGTGGGTGTGCCTCCTGGATGGACAGCCGCAGGTGAGGCAGAGCAAGCTGTCAGATCAGGCCGCAGTACTGAGCTCTTCAGTCCAGGTTTGTCCAGGGTCTAACGTTGCCACAGAGCTTGTGGTACAGAATCCTGGGGGTTCTGTGCTGTGGGACCCTGACTCAGCCACACCTTCCTTGTCCATTTCTGCTGATCGATACCCTTTACTCAGTTTGCATTTCAGCTGCCCTTCAGCTACGTTGTTAACTAATTCATCTGGCCTAGGATTCCCTCTGAATCCTGGAGAATTCTCTTGGATGTGGAGGTTTGGGTGTGGGAGGTTGGGATCTGTCATGCATTTTCGAAAACTCCAGATGAAGTGTTGGCTCAGGGAAGCCAGAATGTTGTCATCATTGCTGTATTTAAAATTATCATAGATATCAAGAAATTAAAGCAGGGTTTTTATTTATTTATTTATAAGAACTTGAAAGGCAGGGAGACACACACACACACACAGAGTCCCCATCTGGTGGTTCACTCTTTAGAAGCTCTCAACTGTGGGCTCTTTAGAAGCCCTCAACTTGGCCAGGCCAAATCTGGGTCTCACATTTGTGGCTTGCAGGGACCCAACCGCTTAACCATCATCTGCTGCCTCCCAGGGTGCACATAAGAAGGAAGGTAAAATGGAGCACAGGGCCAGTATTTGAATCAGAGAACTCTGATATAGAAGCCAGGAGCCAGGAACTTCCTCTGGGTCTCCCATGTGGTGCAGCGTCCCAAATCTTTGGATCATCCTCTACTGGTTTTCCCATCCTCTACTGGTTTCTAGCAGAGAGCTAGAAGGGAAGTGGAGCACCTGGGACATGAACTGGTACCCATATGGGATCCTGGTACGTGTGAGGCAAGGATTTAATCAATAGACTATGATGCTGGGACCCTCAAGTGTAGTTCTACCCATAACACCAGATGCAGGTCCCTAGGCGTACCTTACAAACAAGGAAGAAGTGCCATGTTTCAGCACCTTCCACGCCCTAAAAGCTTGCTACTTGATGCTTTACAAATGTTAGCTTGCTAAACCCACCTAAGAAGCCCTTAAGGTAGGTGGTTAGTCTTATTTCATGTGGAAGGAGAAGCTGAGAGGCCTGAAAGTTGTCCAAGAGCTCAAAAGGGTTTGGAGAAGAGTAGTAATTACTTTGAGCAGGTGTTCAGGAAGAGTTTTTGGAAGAGGTGGTTATTTGAGCTGGGCTTTGGAAGATTGAAGAAGTAGATACATGAAGATAGTAATGACTTTCAAAGTTTATGTCTCATCTCTTGGGTGTGCTGGACAAGAACTTAGCTTTTTAGTCCTTAGCTCTTCTGCCAGCTTCCCACTTTGTTTTAGTCTGTTAAAACTGAAAATGCAGGAGGACCCTGCCAAGAGGGACCTCCATGTGTCAGTTTCTTGTCTGTCATCCCTGGACCACATACTGTCAGCTTCAGTTTCCAGATCCAAACTTGACCTATGATGAGAGCTCTATAAGTGATCAAATGAATGTACAGATGGAGTTTAAGCTTTGGGGGAGGAGATACTGAGCAAACAGGACTTTGTTGGCCTCAAGTCTTTCTTCCTACTTTTTTGGGGGTAAAAGCTCATTCATGAGTCCAGGCCTAAGTCAGCAGAGGCTCTGGTTTCATTGGCTACAGCCGATGTGCAGATGGGGTGCCTTAAAACTTGAGGATTTAAAGAGCCGGGTAAAATGCCTGACTGCAGGGAGAGTGAGGGAACTGTAGCTGGCATTGCACAAAGAGTCCTTTATTTTCCTCCACAGCCACCCCCAGCCTTAAATAATCTATAGATTCTTATGCAGGTCCACTTAATGGAAAGATCATTGCTCCAGCCTCCTCAGAAAATGGGCCTTTCTTTTAATTTTTTCCCCCCTCTCCTCTCTTTCCATTTAAGAAAGTTCAAGGAGAGAATGTGTCTCCTGTTCTCCCCTCTTGACTTAATCTTCCATGCAGTTTTAGAATCTGCTCAGTGGGAGTTGGGAGCTGGGAGGCAGATAGCTGGGGCTGGTACAATTAAATGATGCTTTGTACTTGTAACAGGGCTTTAGGTCTGAGAGCTTGACATTTATTTAGCCAAAAAAAAAAAAGTGAATCTGCCTTCGTTGCGGAGAAGGGGATACACAAAGGCCTGGATAACTCATGCCCTCCCTTGTCGTGTGGCCAGCAGGGAGCTGAGCTGGGAGCAAACTCAGAACTCTCAGCTCCCCTGCTGCCAGTGTGACTCAATGTGGCAGTGTGTAACTGTGAGCTTATAAACAGTTAGGGACTGTGTGGATCAGTTGTTGCTGAGGATCCTGCAGTAGGTTTTCACCTTCCCAGCTTGCTCCCAATCCCCAGAGGCCTAGCTGCCTGCAACCAGCTGTCTGATGCGTGAATTCATATTCTCACTCATAAAACAGATAAAGCAGTGTTTGCTGTTTCTGATGGAGTTTTGAACCATGTCAGGGCTGCTGTAACAAAACACCACTGACTTCCAAACACAATCAACGTGTGGAAGTACAAGCAAGGGCCCTGGTCGCCCGAGTGTCTGGTGAGGACCCACTTCCTCATTCCTGGATGGCTTGTTCTGCCTATGCTCTCACATAGGGTGCCGGAGCTCTCTCGGGCTGCTTTGTAAAGGCTCATTCATGAGGACTCCACCCTCTTGACCTCATCGCTTCCCCACACCCTGATCCCGTAATCTTGGGGCTCAAGACCACAATGTGAGATTTTCTTGGGGAAAAGGGGGGCGATAGTACAGACTTTCAGATTATTAATTCATAGTACTCGGTGTGCACTTACCCCGTGCCCTGCCTGAAACACCATGGGGGAGAAGCGAGCAGTACTGGAGGAGGCAGCAGGCTTACCTCATAGGGTTGTTATGGGGCGTGGATGAAATCATGAGTGTGCGCAAGGTTGAAAGATGACAACTTCTATGCAAATGTAAGGTAGTCTGATGGCTTGTCTTGGCCTTACTATCCAGAAACAGGAAAAATGTGGCAGAAAAATGAGTTGGGGGGAATTGGTCCTCCCCAACACCAAGCAGAGGAGCTGTAGAAGAGGGAAGGAAGCTGAAAGCTGAGAATGTCTGGGAAAGGTAATCAGCATTTGTTCTGTAGGACGGTGGATGGGGAGAGGGGCACTCCACATTGATGAGAGAACTATCTGGGGAATGTGCTGAAGCAGCCTACGGTTTCTTTCTTAGGGTCTATTGTGGTTTAAACACTGGCATGTTTGCATGCAAAGGTATTTTGAGTTGGCACAAAGAATTGCTCATCCTGTTGTTTCTTTCTTAATGAAGCAAGCCCCAGTATAAAAATGTACTTTGGATATAAATTAATAAAAACTTCACTTGGAAGAGTTAGTTGCTCTGTTAATAATCCAAAATTTGTGGCTCTATTACCAAGAAACAGATTCTACTTTGACCTTTGGAAGCTTGTGGTGAACAGCCCTTCCCATGCCTCTGTACTGTCAGCCTGTCAATGGCAATGGGCTTTAAGCTATTTAGGAATGGTGGGTTGGACTCATCTATTGCAGACCCATGTTCGGCATGTGGTGGTGTTGTGCTCTGGGCTCTTGGGGGAGAGGTATTACAGGAAGCTATAGAATGAATGTCTAGGGCAGATGGAAGGAGGAAATCTTTTGCACACCTTCTGGAACTATAAAAGTTGTTATGTCACACCTTAAGGTCAGCTGATCTTGTGGCAGGCACAGACTTCTCAGAACTTCAGATCAGCTGGTCCAAGTGCCTGTTCATGGGGAAACAGGCCATGTGTGACTCAGTAACCAGCCAGAGGTCACACAGCCTCAGCCCAGGATCTCCACCTTAGACCCGGCCATACTACCATGTGTGAGGAGCCCTGGTCTTGTTTGCAAGTGTGGGAACTTTGGGGAAGTAGGTTGTTTTTGTTCCCCATGGGGTTCCAGTGGAACTGTATTTGGTTTTCCCTTCCTGCTCAGAGACTAGATGTAGCACTGCTTTTAGGGAAGAGACAGGGGTCAGATATTCTAAAGCTCAGTGTTGATCTAGTGACTGCTGAGGGACCCACCGGCCTCAGCTTTCTGTCTCTCCTCTAGTTTAGTGTCCTCCACCAGTGATTCTCAGATGCGTAGCCGCTCTGCAGGAGACTGGAGGCCATAACCAGGGCGGGGGAGATGGGAGGGAAGGAACTGGGGTGTGCCAGCACAGGGAGTTGC